TTCTGTATGAATATTTCTGTATGTATATTTCTCTATATAGGAAACGCTGATGCATCAAATTGTGTTATAGTGGGTCCCCATTTCCAATCACACGTCTAAGCCTACCTCTAGGATATCTGAGAAACGCATTGGTTTCCCAGGTGAGTACCTTTCACATAACATTCTCTAAAGCAGCAGTTCTCAACCTGTGGGTCGCGACCCCTTTGGGGGTTGAATGACCCTTTCACAGGGGTCGCCTAAGACCATCGGAAAACAAAAAGATATTTACATTACGATTCATAACAGTAGCAAAATTGCAGTTATAGAGTAGCAATGAAAATAATTTTATGGGTGGGGGTCACCCCAACATGAGGAACTGTATCAAGGGGTCGCGGCATTAGGAAGGTTGAGAACCGCTGCTCTATAGGAAAAGATAACACTGTTTTAAGCTTGTAAACGTCTTTTTTCTCTCGGAGCCCAGGTTTCCTATCTGTAAAACAAGGGCATGAACTAGTGTTTTCCAGACATTTTTCTCCCTCTGGGAATAGAACTTCTACCAAACGAAGAGCAATTTCTAATACTGACATGGACAGGAGATCAAAGGGCTGTGCTGGGACAGGTAGGGTAAGGAGCACATGCTGCCCCAGCTACTACATACTGAAGCACACTGGAAAAAATCTAAGGCTCCAAAAAACCCAAGTCACCATGACAACAATAGCTAACATTTACTGAACACTTTCTATATGTCAGGCAGACCTCAAAGTGCTTTATGTGAATTAACTCATTTCATTTTCACAACAATCCTTTGGTGTAGGTGATATGATTATATCTAATCACAGACAAGGAAACAGAGCGGCAAGAATGCCAGAATTTCAAAGCATGGACTCCACCATCTAACTGCTGGGACTTGAAACCTGGCTCTGCTACTTAACAGGTGTGTAACCTTGAGCGAGTTACTTAACATCATGTGTCTGTTTCCTCATGTCTCAAATGGACATAATGGTAGTATCTAAATATAGGATTGTTATAAGGACTGAATGACTTATAACATCAGTTTATTACTACTACTAAGTTTCTACCCCAGTTTACACAGCTACCAAGTAGAAGAGCAGGGTTTTGAACCCAGGCAGTCTGGAGTGTACTTTTCTACTTTGCTAAAAGGCAGTGGTCTGAAGTATGAGTTTATATAGCCTTGGTACCCAAACAAAAATTACACAGTTCTTCCCTTGTTAAATAGAAAAATTTTCACAGACTATTATGCTTATATAACATTTACCCTTAACTTGTCCAGTGTCAAGTCAATCCTGATGATATTCCAGTAAGTTTAATCTTTAAAAATTTCTTTTAACATTTGAACCCTTATTTTAAAAGTTGGTATTGAAGAGCTTTTCCTATTTATCTGTTTTGCAATTAGTCAACATCCCAGCAAGGAAGCACCATGAAATAAATGTTTGATTGCTTCTGTTCCAGTGGGGACGTCGGAGGGCAGCTCAGCTAAGGCTGCTGCTGGACAGCAGCATCAGAGCCCAGCTGTCTGTATACAGCTGAGGACTGAGGCCAGACGCCTAGCAATACAGAAACACAGGCAGACCTGGAGATACTGCAGGTGTGGTCTAGACCACCGTGATCAAGCGAGTGAGTGGAATTCATTGGAATCCATTTGTAAAAAACACACACCACCTATGAAGCGCAATAAGTGAGGCGTGATACAAGAAGGTGTCCTGTATTGGGAATTTAAGCAGCTTTGTTCAGTGCCTATCACTGTTCTCAGAGAAAAGTTTCAGTTAAACCACACCCTTATTTAAATGAAAGCACAAATAATCCAAGACACAGAAGTGTAGAGGTTAGTCAGGATTTGTCTCAGCTTTCTATGTTAATTTCTTAACACTGCTGTAACAAATTACCACAAACTAAGTGGAATAAAACAATACAAATCTGTCATCTTATAGGTCTGTGTTTAGAAGTCCAAAAATCAGTGTCTACAGGGCTGTTTTCTCTCTGGAGGCGCTAGCAGAGAATGTGTGTTTTTATTTTTTTTAGGTTTTTAAATTTTTATTTATTTTTTGTTTCTTTTTTTAGCTGAGCCATACTGCCACCTGTTGGCCTCTCAGTGGCAGCTCAGCTCGGGCCGGGAATTGAACCGGCAACCTTGTTGCTCAGAGCTCACACTCTTGAGTGAGCTCTTAGCCAACTGAGCCACTCAGCCGGCCTCTACTTTTTTAATTTTTAGAGGCTGCTTTTTCATCTTCAAAGCCTGCACTAGCTGGTCAAGTCTGTGTCATATTGCATCACTCTGACAGGGGCTCTTGTCTCCTCCCATCTTTTCAGAACTCTTATAATTACAATGGGCCTATCAGCTAATCCAGGATAATCTCCCTATTGTAAGGTTTAGTTGATTAGCAACCTCAATTCCATCTGCATCTTTAATTCCTTCTCGCTATGTAACATCACATGTTCACAGGTTCCAGGGATTAGGATGTGGACTTTTTTGGAGGAACCATTACTTTGTCTTCCATACCTTCCTTGGTTCAAATAATTCAGCGTCCATTCATTTAATACTATAATGTATTCAAAATATTGAGCACCAAATGTATTTTGGTCTCTGGTAGACAGTGGGGCACACTTAGCTGACAAATCATGTGTGCAGTTACTAAAAGCTAGCTGAAGGCAGAGACCGTAAGTAACTTTCTTTACATATGGTGTAGCTGGAATCCAATTAGAAGTGGTTTTTTCTTTGTAGCATATGCAATTATGTTGCTGATGAGAAATTTTACTATGAAGGCAATATGGTCTAGTGAAATGATTTTAAGAGACAGACAAACTCCACTCTAAAGTTAATGGACTTCTCTGAGCCTCAGGCTTCTCATCTGTAAAACGGGGATAAAGATGATCTATTTCTAAGTGTTTATTACAAGGATTCAACAGGAACACACGTTCTCCTGGCATGGTATTCCACCAAGGTGAACTCGTTTCCTTCTCATGTTTTAAGTAACTAACATTCATTTCAACATTTCCATGATTCGCTTTGCACCAGACCGTAAAATATAAAAGAAACGTGTTGGTAGGGTAACTTTTTAACATGGACACCTTATTGAAGCTTGGACAGTTTTTAATACATAAACAATATTAATATCACTAATATTGTACTACTGTGAATAAAATTAAAAACATGTTGGTAGAATAACTCACTTGCATACATAACACAATTAAAGAAATATCAATGTTAACCTAAATGGGCTCCCAGAAAGAGCTGGGACTTCAAGACACAGGAAAAGCAAATACATAGGGAATTAAAACTGATTTCCTCGTTCCCTTAAAAAAAACCAAAGCAAGCAAACAAAACCTGATGCATATGTTGAAATAAGGTAAGGGGTACATTTAGGAGTGTCTGCTTGAACTTTAGAGCTGACTAGGCCTTTGCGATCAATCTAGCATGGTGATTTTCAAACTATTCCCTCATCCCTAGAAGTCCACAGACGTTGAAGGAATGGGAAACGCAAGTCGATCCCTTCCTTAATTTATTGTTTTGCCCTTTGGGTGAAACGAAAAACTACTAGGTAAACTTTGGGGTTTCCTATGTATTTTAATAGTCCATAGTTCTCCTGATTCCAATCATCTCTGTAACTGTTCAAACAGAGTTTTGGGAAACAGAAATCTGATAGGCCTAGTTTTGCATTCTTTTATTAGTGATTTGGAGGAATAGGACACAAACTACCAATTACACCCACAACCCTTGTGAACAGCAACAGTAGTGTGAACGATAACGTAATAGTCGGCGCTTAATTGTGCCCAGGAGCTAATTCTACTTTACATATTATTATTTCACACACCAACCCTGAAGGCAGATTTGGAGTTAATTAATTTTTTATGTCCAGTTTTTCCTTTCTGGTTGATAAAGAACTAAGAAAAATAACTTTCTGAAGGACACACGAGACACGGAAGATCGAGCCCAGAACTGAACTGGAAATGCATGGCTTCTTGCTTCTCTACCATCAGGCTGCCTCATGAGGTTAAAAATGCACCGTCCATCCACGAGGAGTGAGTAGTGCGCAAAAACATCGCGTATAGACAGTGGCGTGAAATTCGAAAAACCTAAGCTGGGTAAAAAAAAACAAGCAAGCAAGCCGACCACCGCGCCGGGTCTTCCTTGGGTCCCAAGTCCGCGACGCTGAGCCCGAAGGCAGCCCCCCGGGAGGGTCGGCGGTCCCACCGGCCTCCTCCCTGCGCCCCGGAGGTCCGAGTCCCGCTCCTTCCCCGCACCGGCGCCACGCCCGTGCCGGCCCATCCCCTCACCGAGAGTCGCGGGCCAGGCCTCCGGACGCGGTGAACGGCAGACGCCCCAAGGGCCGGCTCCTCAGCGCTCGGCCCACGACGGAGAGGCGAGCTCGGCCCGAGCGGCAGGAAGGACTCAACGCGCAGCCGCCGCGGCCTCCAACCACCGCCCGGCGGAGGGGCGCCGGGCCGTCCGCGACCCGCTCGGCGGCCCGTGGGCGGAGGGGGCGGCGAGCCGGCCGGCGCGG